TCTCACTGCAAAATCCCCCTTCTTTGTAACTGGAGGCCTGAAATGAGATCCAGGAGTTGTTAAGCATTGAGCCTGGCACAAGTGGCCTGACAAAGGCTGGACACCTGAGAATCCACCCCCTCTCCCCAACGGGGACTGAGTGCAAGTGTTTGTTTACTGGCTTTACCTGCTCTGTCAGCCACCTGGGGCCTTGTGAGTTGCAACCTTGGACGCTCTGCATTCCAATCTTCTGTTCCCCAGATTTTACAAGCATCTTTGGAGAATTTCCCTGGCCTACCAGAGGTTATAGACTGAACCTTCTCTCTGCTGTTTTCTTTGCCTTTTTGCACCTGGAACATTTGTACTTCTATGTAACTGTGTTTTCCAGTTACAGAAAGGAAAACCATGTGTCATAAGATGATGCAATATATTGCTACTAAATCAATTATATTTTTGGCTTTCTTTCTAAGGTCAAGGTTATAATGCAGCATTAAAGCTCTTTATATAATTAGCTAGTAATAGGACACATGTAAAAGTCCCATTATTTACAAATAGGAATCAATTTATATCAAGGTGGGGGGGTCAGATGCTTTGGTTTTGGGAACCTGGTGTTAAAATTCAAAGTTTAAGCTCTCTCTCTCTCTCTCTCTCTCTCTCTCTCTCTCTCTCTCTCTCTGTGTGTGTGTGTGTGTGTGTGTGTGTGTGTGGTCAGCCCTTAGGTTAAAACCCATTTCTCCACCTGGTGAGTTTAAAGTCAAATTCAGTCAACAGTGTGGAAGGGATAGGGTTTCAAATGATGTGTTTACAAAGCTGTTTTCCCCAACCTAAATTTCCTGGAACAACTTGTGGTTCCATGGGGTGATATGACTAATTTCTGGTTATGGGAATGCGGTGGCAGCAGACATGATTCTTCCATGCCTAGACCCTAAAGTCCTTCCAGGTGACCATTCACCTCTTTTCTATTCATTTTACAGCTAGCTGTAGAGGATCTAGGGAAAGATTCCCAGCCCTTATGGGTTAGTAGTCTCCATTCCACACATGCTTTGTGATGAGGATTGGGCCCTCGAGACTTTGAATGCTTGCTGTAGAGGTTAATGAAGTAGACTAACAAAGGAGTTGCAACCAGAGGTCCTCAATAGATGCTAGCACTTCTTCTGGTTCCCAGGAAGCGATGCCTCCTCTCTAGGAGGTTGACAATGGGAAGAATTTACGGGGCTAGTCTAAGTTAAGACCTTGAACAATCCAGGAATCAGGTGAAGAAGCCCAGTGCATTAGGCTAGGTCAGGAATGTACCCGTGACACTAGATTCCCCTTCCTTGGCTTCCAGCTACTTTCCTGATAGTTTCTCTTTTCCATTAAAAGCATATTCTGCCTCCAACTCCTGAGAAAAGCCTAAGTTGCCAATGTTCTCCACCTTCAAGATGCTATACGGCCTCATGGGGCAATGAAAGGAGCTTTTTCTTTATTCTAAAATTTTGTTCTGAACGATGAAGAGTCATTGATGAATTTTAAGTAGAGAAAGGACATTACTAAATTTTTCTATTAAAAAATCTCCATAGCTGACGGTTAATGGCTTGCAGTAGGAATGGAAGCTGGGTAGAAGTTATTGCTACAGTTTCTGTAAGAGGGAGTGGTATCTTGGAACCAGGGAAGAACACAGGAAAGGTACAGAGAGATATCAGGTACCTTGAGACAGAGGTTCTGACAGGACTTCACGGATGTTCTTTGAGAATGATGTCTGACGTGGACAGCAGAGTGGATGGGAGGGGCACCATTGGAGGTCACAATGTGGCTTTACTGCTGTGAGAGTACTATGGAGAGGAACACTGAGCTGACCCTCTATAAAGAGCCATTGTGTGCCATCCTCATTCAGGAGTCCAGCCATTGAGCTGGGAGTTTGTTCCAAAGTGGGGCTGCTTTCCCAGGAAAGACAGTCCTCTTTTCCAGCCTTCACAGAGGTGCCAGATTGACCCCTCAGAAACTTTTGCCATGTTGAGTTTGACCCAAGGAATCTTTGGAACTCCAACCAAGTCAGGTGAGATTATCCTCCCCTGGTGACAGCTGGAAAGAGGCTGGTAAAGGTTTGGCCTGCCTGAGAAGGTATATGAAAGTGTTGTCCCCTACTTCGTATTCTAAGCAAACTCTGGAGGATATCTGCTGCTCAGGAAGGTGTGTTAGGCATAAGATAGGTTTGGGAAAGTCAGCTAGATGTCAGCGTTCAGAGCAAAGTGAACGGAGTGGGAAGACAACTGATTTCCTGGTCCATACTGACAGAAAAGGAATTGTCTATGGACAGAAGGAAAGTCAAGGACAAGCTAAGCTCTACAAGTCCAGAGAACATTTTCTAAATGCCATGTAGTGCTTCATCTTTTCTAATATAAAAATTAAAAACCAATGAGCAATCCAGGCATAAAAGTGCATATCTGTGAATCCCAGTATTATGAGGCAGGAGGATTTCCATGAGTTCAAGATGAGCTTTTAAGCTATTTGTTTTTGAGCTAGTGTTTTGCTATGTTACCGCACCCCCAGACAGTGTTTCTCTGTGAAGCCCTAGCTGTCCTGGAACTCACTCTGTTGACCAGGCTGGCCTCAAACACACAGAGATCTGCTTGCCTCTTTACTGGGATTAAAGGCATGAATCACCACCTTCTGGTGCTGTGTCTTTTTTTAAAAGGTATTTATCTGTTTAATACTTTTTTCTTGTATTTATTTTCCTTGAGTCAGTGCCTTCTTGTTTGTTTGTTTGCCTCGAACTTGCAATCCTCCTGCCTCAGCAGGCGGGGATTTCAAGTGTACACCACCACTTCCAATTTTTGACTTCTTTATATTTTCAATGTGCCAAACCCTTTAAAAATGTAACAGCCACCTTTAACTTGCAGGCTTTCTAGAAATGAAGCAGGGTGGACTTGGCTTTCAGATGTTCGTCTGATGACACCTGCCCCAACAGTACGGAGAGGGTTGCTGCATTTGCTGGGTTGCCTTGGCTTGGTTTGCTTGCTGTGGAGCCTTTCTTGAGGGAGCACTTGTGAGGGAGCAAGGGCAAGCTCCTTTTGCTCTCAGACCCTAGGGCACCTTTTCCTGGCTTACATAATGTCAGTGTTGAGCTTCCTCTGGTTTCACTGGTGTGAGAGTCCTGCGCCTAGAAGGCTGCTTTCAGGTTGAAGACAGTGAATTTAGTAATTCTGTAGGTGTTCAATCTCTAAACTCAGGGGAAGAGAATGATTCTGGGGAGAGGGAGTTTTTAAACAGTTCTAATTGTTCAGGTAAGTTATTTTTACTACACTTAGGTAAATGATCACATTGTTATTATTTTTGATAGACTGTATTTCAAGAAGCTTTTCTGTTAAGTGTGATTAAGTATCATTTGAATTTCACTCACTCAGGGAAGAATTTCCATCACTTTAGGCTTTTTTTTCTCCTTAGATAACTTACTATGGGAGATGCTAACTTGGGTATCCAGGCTCCCTACTTGAGGACTTTCATTGTGATGAAAGAAGACAAATGTTTCATTTAAAAGTTTGAAGTGTGGGAAATGAGAGCGATTAGCAAATTTAACTGGTTGCTGTGTGAAATGCACACAGCATACGTAATACATAAAATATGTTACATATAAAAATCCTCCTATAAAGTTAGTGGCTGAAACAATAGTTATTGCCATGCAGAAGAATTTTCCTCAGTGTCTGGATGAGCGTGGCAGAATGCCACACTGTTCCAGGTCTGACATACTTCCTCACTTGATCGTCCCTGAATGTGGACATTTTGTGTGGACATTTTGCTTGTGGCTGTGCTAGATTCTGCATTCAGATCGGCCTGGGAGATTTTTCACACTTCCATCTTCCATACACGACTGTTACACGATAAATATTGCAGCATGACTTGGATGCACCCCTGGCTCTGGTGAAGAGATGGACAAATTCTGTGAAAAATGAGGTTTGCTGCACCCATTGTCTTTATAAGCAATTTATCTTGCCATTGAACTATTACAATGAGTGTGGCTCTAGGACCTCACTGACAGAACTTGCCATTCAATTCCCAGCTAGGATCCGAAGTAACAAACTGATTTCTTTAACAGTACAAGGTGAACCAAGAAAGAATGAATTTCTGAGGTATGATTAACCTGGGTTCAAGGAGTTTATTGGGTCCCCAGTCTACTTCCCTTTTGAAGTCAACTTGCTGGATTCTTAATGTTGGTGAGCACAGTTAATGGTCACATATTCCTGCTCAGCAAATGAGACATAGTTGTATGATAGCTTGGGTGTGGGAGAGGGTCCCTTGGTTGGACTCAGCTCTGGTCTTTGTGCATCTCCAGCATGCGTCCGGTAAACGTAATTGTTTTAGACATTTGGAAAACCCAGCGACATATGCTGTGGGGTCATAGAGAACCTTCTGAGTCCCAACTTTGCCCCTTTCTAACGCCTTCCTCTGTGCCCCAGTTCCCTCTTCTGTCACGAGAGCCTTAGCTATAGGATTCTTGAGATCTCCACCTCCACAAATCCTGGGAGTCCATCACACGTGACAAATTCAAATTTGAAGGGGGGGGGTGCAGTGGTTGAATATGAGTTATTTAAGTTAGGTTGTAAATTGCACGTCTTAGGGCTTTTGTGTAGAAATGCTCATCCACAGAAGAGTTGCTTTAGTCATTATCTTCTGACCTGGAACTGCTAAGAAGTACTATTATTGGGGCTGGGGCTAGTCCTGGGGACAGCCTTGGGAGGAAGTGGGCGTGGCAACCTCTCTACTTCCTTGTTTGGAGTAAACTTGAGCGTCTGAAGGCTGAGGTGTTGGCTTCTCCATCTCTTGTGTGCTTTGCGGGAGCTCTCTACTCTGCCAGAGAAAACATACCTACAAAAAGCACCACGTCAATCCCCGCTATTCCCTCGAGGTCCCCCAACCTCCCCCAGCCTCCAGAGAGCGAAGCGCTAAGGGGCGCGGCAGCCCGGGCCAGCCCACAGCCGTCGCAGCTGCAGCCGGTTGGAGATGGGGCAGTGGCGGGGGCGCAGGGGCTCCAGTAGGAGCCTTCGTTGTTAGCTCCCAGGTCTAGGTGCCTGCAGCCGGCGCGAGCAGTTCATAGCCAGCGCCGGTCTGCGGTGACAGCGCAGTGGAGGCTGGGCACAGGCTCAAGCTGGGACCCCGGAGGCACGAGCCATGACGGACGCCAGCCACAAGAAGGAGGGCTTCAAGAAATGTAGGAGCGCCACTTTCAGCATCGATGGGTACAGCTTCACCATCGGTGAGAACTTTGCACCCGGGCCGTTCTTGGCATCCTCACACACCCTCCGGTGGTGGCGGTGGCCAGTTCTAAGCGCGGAGGGGGTGGGCATGGGAATCTGGGTCGGAGGGTGCTGGCTGGAGGGAGCCCTGGGGAATGGTGACCTGCTGGGGGAAGCTCAGATCCCAGGCTGCCCCGTGCTTACTCCATCACTCCAGCTGGCATCCCGCTGGAGTCGGTTTTCAATTACAAATCTCTGAATGGCTCATTCCATGCTGAGATTTGGGTAACAAGGTAGAAGAGGATGGATAGAGATGGATGGAGACAGAGGTGGAGATGAGAATGAGGAGGAAGAGGAGTTAAAAAGGCTAGCAGACACAGGGACAAAAAGTAACAGTTGTCTAGGCATATGCCACCAAGTCAGAAGTTCAGGGATGGAGATATGAGGACAAAAGACAGAGAGGAGAGAAGGAGACAGCTCTAGAGAGACATATAGCACGGTCCTTCAGAGTCCTGGGCTTTCAGAGGCTGGTTGCAGGCAGGCAGGGAGGGACGATGTGTATCCTGATTGGAATGTTTCAGAAAATAACTGGGGTGTGTTGGGAACTACCAGTGATTTCTATTTTCCCCCCTGCTCCAACTGTTCACCAAGAGGGAAGAGACAGAAGGGGCTGAGAGTTTCCTCCAGTTGCTACCACAGAATCCACTAGTTGGAGGCCAGCATTGGAAGAGGTCTGGTCTCCACAGTTTTACTATGAGTTTATACTGTTTTGAAACAACTTTTCAAGGCCTGACATCTTTACCCTCTTGGGAGATGGAGATAGCTATGGAGCCGCTTCCTTTTGGAATGTTAGCTTTGGCTAAGCAGCAGGCCCGAGGCGGGTATCCAGATGCTCTTCTCAGTTCTTATTTAAGCAAGCACTTAAATGACCATGGCTGTCAATCTGATCTTACCCCCACTACATCTTTGAGAATGAGGGTATATGCTTTTTTGCTTTTGGCTCCACCTGCCTGGAGACATAGCAGGGAAGTGCCGGAGCCAGGAAGAGGCCAGTGATGAGGAGCCTGTCTCTGGGTCATTTGTGCTCCCAATGACGTGCTCCAGAGTTTGTGGAACAGAATGCACATTTGTCATTTGCTAGATACGCCATAGCGCACCTGTCACACTTTCTTCAGGTTGTTCCAGCAGCCAGGATTGCTGCTTCCCCCCAGGGTGCAGGGAGAAAGCATGCCTATCTCCCAGGAAGCTTGCTGCCCTTGCTGCCTCCTCCACTCTCCACCTGCATGGAGAGACACTCCCACCACAGACCCAGGGGTTCACCTCTAGAGCTGGCCCGCCTAGAACCAGCTGGTGGGAGCCTGTGGGTAGTTCTCCCTGTTCTCTAAACCCGAGACTGCTCAGTTTGCTTTTCACTCTCTAGAGGCAATGATCTGTGCTCAGGGAAGATTCTAAGAAATCAGTTACAAGTTTCCAGGGTCAAAATTGTCTCATTGAAAGGTCATGTAAATTTTCACTTTTCTTGACTCCAGTAGGAAAACCTACAAAAGTAAGTTTTACATTTGACCTGGTAGTTCCCATCAGACCTTATCCCCTAAACAGCAGTGTCTCACTAAGGTCACTTAGTGTGATCCTCCTCAGTCTACACGCTTTCCTTCCCCTTAGGGAAGATGGTAGCAGAGACCTATAGTCTGCTGGTCAGAAGGTGCCCCAAGTGAACTAGCCTACGTGAGATGAGGGCTACAAACTTGGTTCACATTGCTGGGCTTCCTGCCCTTCTCATCTGTCAATCCCCCTGTCAACAAATGCTTATTGAATTTTACTGTATTAAATGATATGATTTAGCACATTGTCTGGCCCATGACAAAAATTCAATAAGCAGGAATTACTGCACTTATTCAAGATATTAAGCTGATATATGAGTAGTTCATGAAGACGTACAGAGAGACTTTGGACCAATATTCAGGGATTTTTACACTCAGAGTTATATGCTGTGTCCACAAAACATTTTATAAAGTAAAAATTAGCAAGTATAATTAGCAAGTATGATAAAAAACATTTTAGAATTTTAGGCCAACATACATACACGTTAGAAATGCAGATATTCAAAAAATGAAAAAAAAAAAAAAAAGAAATTCACCTATTAGATCATTCACTGCAAAGTGTTAACATTCCTTGTTCATACTTTACAATACTTTTTTTTTTGTTTTTACACAGACACATTTTGAACACAGTGTTTGGAAATCTCATATTTAATAATATCTTATTGGGTTTGCTTCCTGTTGTATGAGACCATTTCTTTAACTACTCTCCTATTGTGGGCTACTTAAGCTCTTACTTGTCTTCATTATAGGCAATGATAAAAACAAAGCCCTTGAGGACATCTAGGGATACTTCCCCTTATTATAATTATAAGGAGATCTATTTAAACATGAGTGTTTTCAATGTGATAGTTACACAATATGAAAAACTGAAGGAATAAAGAAATAATCTTATCTACTTGGTGAGCATTAACGATAACGAATCCACTTTAGTTTACGAGTTCTTTTTATGGCTAAGCTTCTGGAAGTGCAATTGCTTGGTTCAAAAGTATGTCCATTTTTAGGGATTTTAAAGTGTTTTGCTCAACCACTGTCTGGAAAGAGTTACTACTGATGTTCCCACTATTAGACCATTAAAGTCTTTACATGCTGCCATGAATGCTGGACGCCACAGCTTAAAAAGGATTCTAGTCTGAGAGGTGGAATATGCCACCTCAATTCAACAAGTTTTACTATTTTGTAAAACTGCTTTCTCATTTTCCCTGATTGTTTTACCTCAGGGAAGTCATTACTTACTAATTTAAAAACCTATTAATCTATGTAGTATATATTAGTTATACACATACTATTATGTTAATTACTTTGATATGTCATATGTTAATCATATAGCAACTATATGATTGACATGAGCTAATATACATTATATTCACTCATACATTATATATATGTGTGTGTGTGTATATTATGTAAGTGTGTGTTGTGAGATATGTTTGAAAGCTTTTCAAGTACATTTTGGCATTTATGTTACATGTAGTTTTTCCCAAGCAAGACCCTTTTCCTTGCATCATCAGTATATGTCAGTCAGGATCTATGCTAAAATGCTTCAGCAGGATGGACCAGGGCACTCCCACCCTGTACCACATAGCAGAGAATCCCCAGGATGTCTTGTCTTCAGATCACTCATTCTCTTGGGCACCTGACCTTCTGTCACAGGAACCACCTCTTCCTCTAGTCTATTAACTTGTAAAAAGTTTGGATCAGAAGATTGTGCTAAAGGAATTTAAATGGTCCTGAAGAGTCAAGAGATTCTTCTGGGAGAGCCTAGGGGAATAAGGGAATTTTGGGGTCATGGTAGATGAGAGACACAGGCACCCCTGTAACAATGTTCTGAACACACCCCTCACTCCCAGAAGATCCCTGTCCTTTCTTTGGGGGAGGTACCCTTCCCTCCTGGTTCTCACTGTGCCTATGCCTCTCTCAGGAGAGGAATATCCCAGGGAAATCTGGACAGACATAGCATTTTAGAATTGGAACTGCCTGGGGAACGGATAGTGTCCTGGCTACGTTTTTGTCAACTTGAAACAAGCTAGTCATCGGAGAAGAGAGAACCACTGTTGGCCAATCTGTAAGAGACATTTTCTTGATTAATTATTGATATGGGAAGTCCAGTCTCATAGGGGTAGTGTCACCCCTGGGCAGGTGGTCCTGAGTGGTATAAAGCAAGCTGAGTCACAGGAAACAAGCCAGTAATCAATGTTCCTCCATGGCATCAGCTTCAGGTTCTGCCTCTAGTTCCTGCCCTGTTTGCATTTGTGCCCTGATAGTCTAGTGATGGACTGTTACTTGGAGGTATACGATGAAACACCCCGTTCCCTAGTTGTCTTGGTTATGATGTTTTATCGCAGAAATAGAAACCATAATTAAGATAGTGAAGAGAGGCCAGGAGAGTTGAATACTCTGTGGTAAAGGACAGCCTGAGAAGTAGGGGCTGGTCCAAGCTAGGTTTGGATTCCTAGAGTCCTTGAGCTACCCTATACTCAGGTTGCAGATGCTCTTGGGAACTGATGTCGGAGTTGACTGAAAATGGGCTCTGTGTAGACAGAGTAGCTGTGGGGTGTGGTCAAGGCTCTAGGCTGTACTTTACTTGACATACTCCATCACTTTTCACAGCATCTCTGAAAGGTGATAGCTCATATGGTCACAGTTTTGAAAAGAAATTTTGAAGTGAGGTGATTTTCTAGAAGTCACGTAGGAAGGAAATGACAAGGTTGAGATGAAACCACTCATGCTCTGCCTTTCCCACCAGACTTACTGTACGCATCTTGCTGCCTCTCACGGTGCAGGTGATTTCTGTTTGGTCTTGAAGGCTAGCCTACCATTTTAATGAAGAGAGATCCGGGGGGTTGTTAGGTCTGCTGAATCAACTCAGATTCCAGTAAAACCGGAAAGAGCAGGGGCTTAGGTAGTATAACCCTGTACTCTCTAGAAGATCATGTGAAAGAATATGACTTGTTAGCCTGCTTGCCATTTGGTTTCTAGCCTGGTTCCTTTTTCCTAGGTTCTCAGGGGTAAATGACTTTGTGTTCTCTGGTATGATTTTTCTCAGGTCATGGGAGTGTGTGGTCGAGAGGGTCTAGACAAGTCAACAGTGGCCTATGTAGAAAGCCCTACCAATCTGCCTTCTACCTGTAGGACACAGCTGGGCCCGTTAACTGAAGGCTGTGTGCCAAAGCCCATGTGTGGTTGGCTCTCGTGCGGCTTGTGAATATGAATATGAAATGAATGGGATCGTGTGTGGGGTGGAGCAGAATCTTGTTATCTGGACTGATATTTCTTGTCTCCTGGAGTCTGACAGTCTCTTGGGGTTGGTGCTCAGGGAGTTTGTAGACCCTTTCTCTTTCCTGCAGTGCAAACAGATCCTTCTTCCTGTGAAAGAGCTTGGGTCTTGCTTTCTTGTTAAAGAAACCAGCGTGGTCCACTCA